GTTGGTTAAATAACTTATTAATATGGTTACTGTTCAGAAGAAAATTTTGGCTCCACCTGAAGATGATGCTTAAACATGTGCCCAAGTCTAAGAACATCAGAAGTCCCACTGGCCTCAGCAGAATTATTAATGTTCTAAAAATCAGGCATTTGGTTAAGAATATTTCAGAATTATGACACATATTATAGGCAAAACAGAGCACTGTAACAAGACCCAGCGTACACATACGCACAAAATAAATCTTTAACAGAAACAGAAATTCTTACCTTTTTAGGTTAGGTTTTGGTAAAACTTATGTATTAAAATATTTCCAAATAAAAGCAATTTCTTAGTGATTACAGATGTAGTTTTTAAAAATACCATCAAATCTAGTTATATACTTAATGTATCATTTTCACTCAAATGAACATAGCCTAAGGGCACTTAGAATAAAAAAATCAATATAAAGCACAAATTTCTGACGGAACAGTGACACATTATATCGATCATTTCTATTTTTAAATGTCATTGCTAAGAACAAAGTTAAATGTTTCCTTATTAAAAAAGCAACCCAACAACTTCCTTCGAGAGTTATTTCAAGGTCAGAAGAAAAGGATATAGTTGGTAGTAAGACTAGGATATGGCTGAGGGGGGGAGGGGGGGAAGAAGTTTCCCTTAATTTACATATTTTGATCTTTGTAATGTCAAACTCTCTCACTACAATTTTTGAAATATCTCACCCAATTTGTAAATGACAGTTCCAGCTGCACAACACACAAACATGAATGATCTGTGCAAAAATGAAAGCACTTCAAATGTCTTCCTGGCTACATATGTGAACTAAATAACAGGTTGCCAGTAGGTCAAGTGCCATGTTGATCTACTAAAAAGATAAAACCTAAAGAAAAGTTAATAGAAATGGAAATGGGAAAGACGAGATTTTTTTTTTTTTCCCCTGAAGTGAGGTCATTCTTGTAAGATATACTATCCTTGTTTCCTCAAAAGTTGAGCGTCTGAGTGAACGGTGAACTTTCAGCTCAAGGCACATCAACTCAGATAAAAGCTGCCAGAGTCTTGGAAGAGTCTTTTGGCACAGAGCAAGACTGAGCTGGTTTACAGAGTTTGATTTTTATGGTTTTGAGATTTAGAGGATACTCAGAAACCTCTGCAACCACCTTTGTTTAAAAAGCAATCTTAGTAGTCTTACAGGACCCGCAGAGAACGGTCATGGCTACATCACTGATGTTTTTATTTAATACATAATTTCATCCATCTTACCCAGATAAAGAAAGAAAAGTAGCATAAATGTAACAAATAAGCACATCATGTTCACTTAACATACACATCTGCACAAAATTATAGCACAGCTCTCGCAATGCTTAAAAGATAATGCAAATTTCAGTGGAATGCAAAAAACCGTCAGAAAAGAGTAAAAATATTACCAAGGGAAGCCTTCAGTAAATTTTTAAGAAGTTACTTTAACCCCCCCAAAAAGCTTCTCATAATGTGCAGAAGTTCTAAAGCTTTGCAAGGGTTTTAGTCACAGTCATTTCTGTTTTATGTAATCATTTCCAGCAACACAACTTAAGAGCTGGGAGTACTGGATTCATTACATTAAAGCAACATGATACGCCATTACATCTTGTCACAGTGCACACATGAATTAATGGTAATGCAACATAATCACTCTGAAAACAAAACAACTTTGCATTAGCATGTGCTTTGTTAGGTAAAATGTACATTCATGACAGTAGCAAACTTCAATTATGCAGACTTTTATGTTTTAGTAATGTTCTGAAATGCAAATACAATTTTTTGTATAAGGCAGACGACTGTTCTTGTTCTCACTAGTGAGACGCATCCTCAATTTTCGACTACGGATGCATATTATGTATTGCAAACAATATTTGTGCATTGCTCTCTGTAATTAGTTGCTGGACACAGAAAGTTAAAGTTTCAAATATATTTCAAAACTACTTACATGGTTTAGCCAGATAACGATATTTAACCAAGATGTTTTTCCTCAAATGCATAAATTATTAATATTATAGATTATCTGACTGCACGCAGAAGACCAGAAAGCACTCAGATAGTTTATGA